ATGAAATTAAAAAGGGATCCATGTCAAAATCCTGAAATTTAATTGTCGTGTCGTGTGATGTCGGGTTCTACTGTAGTATTCAAACCCTGCTCATGATTAGCAATAATGATCACATACTAGCATTTAAGTGTAATTAAAAGCATTTATTTTAAAAATATTATTTATTTATTCATTTATAACTAGTTATTGCTATATTGGCAACTTTACCAAGCAAATCTAACGCTCCTGCTGAAGTTGCTGTTGAGTAAGTGCTTATTAAACTTATAGTATTTATAATCAAACAAATTTATTATTTTATATTGGCTTTTAGATTATTGGGTTGATCACCTTAAAGGTATAACTTTACTACTTGGTCATTATTTATAATTGGCTAATTTAATATTTGTCCTTAGATGCTTATTAGAAAAATGAGCAATTAAAGAAAGGTATTGATAGTATTTTAAATTTAAACTACATAATTTTTATTGTTATTTATTTCTATAACGAACTGATGGTTAAAATTTTTAAAATTCATATATCCAGAGCTCATTATAGAGAAGTTCGTTATATCTGGAATTGACTACACTTAGTAAAAACTAACGTATTGCTACTGTCAGGTGGAATTCTTGGACGTTTTAAAAATCGTACGTATCTTCATATAGTTTTTTAGGCTTTAATTAGGGTCCGTGTCATTTCACTCAATTATTTTACCAACACGTTTAGTTCACCGACAAGTTTTTTTTTATAAATCACACTAACCTTATCTCTAATTTTAAGCCTGACCCTAACAATAATGACCAGAATTACTTTGTCTGAGAAATGATTGTCAGTGAATAATCGTCGGTAATATAAACTTGTCGGTGAATTGATTGGAGTTGTGTGAAGTGATTTTCAACACTACATTTAATTAGATGATCGAACGAAATGTTACACGACGTTTTATATCTTTAGCATAACGGTTTGCAACACAAAATATGACCAATGCGAATTGGTAAAGGTTTGCGATACAAATAATTTCAAAGTATATTTTTCGTTTTATAAATTTTTAATACAATGTGGTAATCCGCCAAGTAATTCATAAATTAGATAGAAAGTACTTGGACACATAATTTCAAAGTATATATTTTCATTCTTTTAAAGTAACTCGGAGATTCCTATTACTACTTTGCCACTTCCATTTTGTTATACAATAAGCTTATGTTTTTATTTATATTATATTTTTCTCACATGCACGGTTTGATATTGAAGATTACTTTGTTGATCAAAATTAATTTAAAGATCTAAAACATGGTTTAATGGTCAGTAAATACTATTGTATGAAATGGTTTGAAACGTGGCTAGTAAAACTAGTAAGATATCGATTTGTTTATACACATATTTGAATTAATATTTTATTTATGTTAATTTATTTGATAAGCGTCGACTTAAAGATATTATACAGTTATATGTATACATAATCTAAATGAAATTCATTCAAATCGTCTTATCCTGACTTTCATGGTGGTACTGGAGGTGGAATTTTCTAAAAATTAGGGCAAAAAATATTATGACTTTGGAGGCATTATATTAAAGATATCAACTATCGTTTACGAAGGCCTTTATTGATAAGGATTTTGGTATATATATCTAAACATTCTATATAATACGTTGCTAAAAGTCTATCATAAATACTTTGAATATTATCTAATTCGTTAAAAGGAATCTATTCGATCACATCTTATAACTTATGTGGTTTTAAGTTGAAAATTTTTAATGTGTTTTCGTCGACATCTTCGTTTTCACTTGTCTATCTTCATGTTGTATTCTGTCACATGTTTGATTTGATACCAAACAAAGGTGTATTATTATTTGTGCAATTTTTTTTTTTTTTAGAAATCATTTTTTAGAACTCATTTTCCAAATCTTAACACATCATTTGTGATTGCGTTTTGAGTTAATCAAGTTACCCTACTGCATTTACCTAGAATAACCATCCTGGGCGTTAGAGGCATTCATTCAATTAAATTAATTATTAGCTCTTTTTACTCTTTTTAAGTTGTATGCTTCTAAATAACGTTCCAAAGCGTTACTTTACCAAATATATAAAATATTAAACACGTTATTAACGTTAATAAATAATTTATATATAATAAATAACATCTTTTAAAATAAATTTTTTAAACTACTTTACTGTAACTAGCAAAATAGCAATTTGAATTAACTATAAAGTAACTATATAGTTACTTGGTAGTAGCTTATATTAACTATATGTTAGCTACTGTTAATTTTTTTAGTTTTCAAGTTACTACATATATAATTATTATATACTATATATATTAGCAATACGCCTACTAAATTTTGTAAAGTATATAGTTAGTGTTTTAAGTGTAATTATGCATTACGACGCATTTGCGTAATTAAGGAAATTAAGCAGATATAGTATGAAGATGGGTTGAAAAAAATTTTGGAAATTGATTTAGTGACCGAATATTTGGATTTGATGAAGTCAAATTAAATTGACTTACTTTCAGTAGCCAACTTTTTCAAATTTTGGGTAGTTTACAAATGCGCCGTAATGGTATATGTATCGTCATTATTATGATGTTAACATGAGATAACTTGTTGAAGCTTTTTATAATAACGGTAATATCGATATATGGTTCTTATATATGAGAGGCATTTATTTAAAACAAGCATAAGTCTCTTTGAGACAATAACGTGAAACACTATTGTTGTCAAAATTGGTTTCATAATAAATATCTACAAATATCTTTAACAAAGAATATTGCACACCATATTGACACTTTTGAAAATATTTGTTTCATAATAAATGCTTTTGAATTTTGTTTCATATTTAGTATAGTAAATACTTTGTAAAAAGAGCCCTAAAAAGAAAAAAAACAAACAGGAAGCCGAAAACCTAACATAAAATTTTATTTTTTTAAAAAAACCAATATTTTTTGGGTTTAATACCTTTTGCTAATTTTGTTACTAATTTCAGCAAAAACCCATATCCTTGCGTCACGGCCTAAATTAGGATTAGGGTTGGGGTAAAAATTGTGTTAAATCATTTAATGCTGATCATATGATTGTGCGTCAGCTGCAAGTTTAATCTGAGACACATATTCATAATGATTAGCATAAATTAAGGTTGCCGACCGTAATATTTATGGACATTATATTACAACCTGGGTTGCAACCCTTAGTTACAGCTAAGACCGTAATACTATAGATTGTAATCGCAACAATGCGAACCAAATTAGAAACCAGAATACGAAATCATTTATATGTGCTAAGTTAGTGCAGGTTACTCTCATTATACTGTGGATCTAGTGAAATTTGACATAAATAATAGGAATGTTACATAAATTCTGAAACAACTGAAAAATTGCCGATGACAGAATAGATAAATTACCGAGCCGGAATCAATAAGTAATCGACTCGGCCGAACTCTGAAACTTATCGATTCGGTCATCGGCAATTTTTTCAGTTGTTTCAGAATTTAGCTGTAAGTGGTGCATCTGGTCCGGTCCCTTAGATCTGAACTAGTTAAGGGACGAGTTCACCCCCTGTCAAAAATAGTTAAAAAACCGGTCCTACTTTAGTGGTTTAACGTATAGAACAATAGTGAACAAGTATTGTGTTTAATCGTAATTACATGGATTGTATTGAATTCGTTTCAGTATTATAGATTGACGTAAATTAGCCAATTAGATGACCTTGAGATCACAAGATTATTTTCAGACTAACTCTGAACCAGTCCCAAAAAAGTCCGGACCGGACACGGCCTAAACTAGTTCCCCGCGGACCACTTAACATCCCTAATAAATAATATTAAGTTGCGGTACTTTCTCTTTCCTCCTTATTACAATCACGAATATTCACAATTATTATGAATGTAATTATGAATATTTATGAATGTTCATAAAAATTATGAATATTCATAAATATTACGAATATTCAAATATATTCGAATATATTTATCAATATCTTATATTCTAATACAAGCATTATCTTAAGGTTGAACAGTAAAATATGACTTCTTTAAAATAGCTAAAAGATTAGAATTACTTAAATGTATAATATTCTCAAGTTATTTTAAGATCCAAAATCACTTCGGATGTTTCGTATCCATTTACAACGCTGTGTTTTTTATGTCCTATAACTTTTAATCCACATGATAAGTTTTATGATTTACGACTTGCCTCACATGATTTTTGTCAAGATACCCAAGCCTGTAAACACCTTATGATGTAAAGACTAATAAATTTTTCATTTATTATGAAACGTCCCTATGGTTTTTTTTGCACCTAAGGGAGAGTCGGTATTAAGAGTTGCTTATATGAAAATATCCAGGAAAATATATTTATTCTTGAAATTTATTGAAATAGATTACTCATCGAATTAACCATCTGCCAATAAAAAAAAAACGACTTTAAAAAAAAAAAGATTTAACTATGAACTTTCAAAATCTACTCAAAGAAAAATGCTATGTTTTTTACATTTGGAGGTATGTGTTTGCTGCATCCTTCCTCTGGACATTACACAAATAGGAAATATACATTAAAAAATTAAAAGAAACTTAATATTGCATAAATAATATCGACTTTTACTTATACCTTGTGGTATTTTATATTATTTGATTCGTCTCAGTAAGACGAATCGAATGGTACTAAAATTTTTCGATTCTGATCAGTATATCGCAGTATATCATCAAAAACTACCCGCGTCATAATACCCGACCCTCCCTTATATAAATTTTAATTTTTTTTTACAAAAATTTTTATATTTTTCATGTTATGGTTAGAAGTTTGGGCGCAGGCACATTTACGCACCAGTTAATAATTAACCTTTTTTTTTTTGAGGTAGGTGACGAAAAATCATAGATACATTTTAGTAAAAATATTGGTTAGCTATAGTATTTAATATTTCGAAACCTTTTATTACAAATCTAATATTACTTATGCGTTTCAATAATTCGATAATATACAAATTGCCTATGCCATTATTTATAAAATAATTTTACAATAAAAACTCATATATTACAATATATATTCTTCCCAATCTTCTAAAACATAAGGAAGCATATCAGGTATAGATATTTCAGTTTCACTCATGCTAGAAACACCAATCCCATTATCTCCTATTTCATCTTCTGTATAAACAGTTTTACCTTTTCCTTTATCACTATCTACATAACTCCTATTACTTAATGTCAAACTATTTATACTATCATCCCAACCAAAAGTATTGAAAATTCGTCTTTTCAGAGTACAAAAAATAGAATTTCCCGAACCTGATGATGATGATTCTTGTTGTAAACCTATTAAATCTAAATCACGACGATTAAATAAAGAATCGGTCATACCATCCAAATCGTTCCCAATAAAACCAAACCTTAAATTATTATTATTATTATTATTATTATTATTATTAACAGAAAATACTTTTGTGTCATCATTTTGTATTTTAAATTGTCTTCTTACAAATGGCTCAATTTTCATTGTACCAAATGTAGTTTTTCTTATTATTAAAACAACAACGATTACTGCTATTATGGATGCAATTATTATTCCAATTATTGCTGGTGGATTAGCTGATAAAGGGGGTGGATCTACGTTATTGGATGTAGGTGATATCGTGGAGGGTATGTGAGGTTGATAATTGGGGTTGAAGGTTGGAGTTTTGATTGTTTGTGGTGGTTTGGTATTGGAATAAGGATTAAGTTCCGGATCAATAGAAGTACTTGGAATTTTATATCCGTGTCGATCATCGGATGTGTCGATAGGAGAAGAGGTGAAATCAGGTTGATTATTTGAGGTTTTATCAATTGATGTAAATTGGGGATTAGTAGTCAGAGTATTATTTTGAACAATAGGTTGATGAACAAAAGGTGGAGGTGTAGTTTGAAATTGAAGAGTAGGTTCAGGAGGTCGAAAAAAATCAGATGGATCAATTGTAGAAGATTGGGTAGGTGTTAGATTAAGTAGTGGATCTTTTTCTGGGTCAAATTTTTGAGCAGGCGTTGGAAGAGGTTGAATTTGAGATGGGGTTTTATCAACTAATGTAGGGTTAGGGGCACCAACGTCTGGTAGTTGAGGTTGAGGTTGAGGTTGAATAGTGGATGCTGGAATTTGAAATGTTGTTTTATCAGCGAATGTAGGTTGGACATTCGGATCATTCGAATCATCGTTTGGTGATTGAGTGAATGTTGAAATTTGGGATGTTATTTTATCAACTAATGTAGGTTGAACATCGTCTGGAGATTGGGGTTGAACAACAGGTGTTGGATTTTGAATTGAGGTTTTACCAACTAATGTAGGTTGGGCATTAAAGGTATTAGAGGTATTATCGTCTGGAGACTTAGGTGCTGAAAAATGAGATGAGATTTTATCAACTAAATGAGAGATTTCATCACCTAGAGATCTAGGTTGAATAGGAAGTGCTGGAAAAGGTCGAGCTTGAGATGAAGTTTTATCAAATAATGAAAAATGGGCATTAGGGACATTATCAATTAGAGGCTTTGCAAAAGAATTTCGAAGTTGAGGTTGAGCATGGGAAATATCCTTAGCGGATATTGGGAGAGGTTTGTTATTGTGGATGTCATTAATATGTGTTGGAAGAGGTTGGTTATTCTGAATGGTATCAGTGAATTTTGGAAGATGTCGCTTGTTGTGAATGTTGTCAATTGGTGCTGAAAGAGGTTGGTTATTGTGGATATCATTAATGGGTGTTGGAAGAAACTGACCATTGGAAATATCATTAGTGGATGTTTGAAAAGGTTGGTTATTGTAAATGTCATTATTAGGCGTTGGCTGACCAGGAGCTTGATAATAGTTAAGATGAATATGTTTTAAACGAGAGTGTTGAGGTGATTCGGTTTGTGGTAAGATGGTATTTTTGTAGGCAGTTAGGGATAGAAGGGGAATGTTATTCTCATTGATAGACAGTGATAATGATTTCGTAGGTACATCTTGTGACCGAGAAGCTGGAAATGGTGAATACTTACATTGTAGGCTCAATTTTGTTATTTTACGTAAAGTTAATGAATTTGTGTAGTTTATATCCGCCATTAATTTGGTTCAAAGTCCTTTCTTACCTGAAGAAAGAGTCATGTAATAGTAAATTAAAAGTAGATCTTTAATTTTTTGGCAAGTTTATAATAAAATAAATTTTATAAATGACATATAACAACTTGCAATAATTCCTCGAATTAATGAGGAATTTAAAAAAATTTTTTTTTGACATTTATGTATTTTATTGAAGGATCATGTGTTTACAAATCCTATCTATATAAATTTCGACACTAATATTATCGCTAATACTAATTCATTACAATCAAATTTATGAATAACATTTATTCTAGGAATAATTTTCGTGGCCCACAAATAGGAATCTATGTTTATCAAATTTTTTTTATACTTAAGCAGTAAAGACGATATGTATCTGCAAATTAAAGTTACACGAAATATCGATTCATACATTTATACGGAGTCCTACACGTGATTCAAACCAAATCCTGACTTATATTATAATTATTCATACGTTTTCGATGATCTCGCTAACGCTAAAATTTTAGCTATGATTTTTTAAGTCTCGTTTTTTTATGAGAACTATGCAGGTTTCTCAACGTAAGTTTCCTGGCACAGACTTTGACGTTAGTTTAAAGAAACTTGTGATGAGAGACCATTGTGCACGTAACTAATTTTTTTTAATATTACAGGCAGCTTTCTTATCATATATGTTGCAAATTACTTTACTAAGTCTTTGCAAAGTTGATTATAATTGTATATGCTACAAAAAAATAGCTATTATTAACGCTAGGAGATTCATGCGAACTACTCAATTATTACATAATAAATTGGCACTGTCATATCAAGTTGATTTAGAACAACTACCATTTATAGGGATCCAGGTATATGGTAATTTATATATGCCATGTGGTTTTAAATTTACATATTTATTTATAATCAATTTAAAAACTACTGAACTACCTGGCTTTAGACGACCTCCATTATATGCTTATTGTGAGATTCCGAGATTCCACAAAATAGTAAAGTATTTTAATATATCCACAAAATTAGAACAAAAATTTAAATCACGGCATTGATGCTCAATATCACATATTTTTTTTATAGTAATATTGTTGTCAATATTAGGATTAGGGGACATTGAATATTAAAAGTTAGGGTTAGAGATAATGTTAGCAATAGTTTTTTATGGTGCTAACCATTTTTGTTTTAGACATCAGCATTAATTATTTAACTGATTTTGTGATATGATTTAACAAAACCGAATTAGAAAATATTTATTTAAATATTGTACTTATTTTTATTAAAAAACTTCGTGTTTAAAATATATTTTTAAAACGTTATACAGCCAAATCTTTCTAAATGCAACCCTTCTAAATTTTGTACCTTTCAAAATGCACATCAGAACTTTGGCCAAAAAAATTATTAATCCTAAATACACATTTTCTGTAAATTAAATTTTTTAAAAAAATTTTATTGAATGATCAACAACGAAAGTAACAGATTGATCGTATTTAGCAGGATTGGCAAATATTAAATACATATAATATATCGCTAATTAGTGTAGATAGCATTAATGAATCATTCAGGATGACCATGAAAAATGCGGCAGCAACAATAACGATAACTATTTAAAAAAGATTTACAATATGCAGCTAAAGAGCCAATAAGTGACACTAACGTCACCGCGTTTTTTATGGCCGCCCTGGATGATTCAGCATTAATAGCAGAATTATCATAGTCGCAGATATAGAAGAAACGTAAATAGTTTATAAATGTAGTATTATCCTGTAAATATAAAGGTCATCTCATATTAATCATTCTAACAGTAACGATTTTATTAAATAATCTAATCTGACACCTCTTTCAAGCGAAAATTCTAATCTTCTTAAATGCGACTGCTAAATAGATCTTAAAATCTTAGATCTGAAATATGTTTAGTAAGAGCTAAGAATAGCTAAGTATGAACTAGGTTATTTCTAATACTATTTAACACTAAATATATACTGTAGTACCAAGTTGGTGTAAATTGTATTAAAAGTAACTATATTTAATTTTGCAAAAGTTTTAATAAAGTTTTTATTTGTTTTAAAAACTATTGTAGTGAGATATAATGCTATAGTAAGGTAGTTATGAATTGTTGTAAATTAATACTGTATATCTTAGCTTTATAAATAGAAAGTGCAAATGTAGGTCCAATCTAGAACAAATAATGCATATAATTACAGTATTCTCAATTATATTGGTTTAATAATTTTGCAAAATTATAAAAAATAAAATAAAAAATATTATAGCTATAAAAATACTAATAAAAAAAATAAATTTAATAAAGTTATAATTAACTAATAATAATACCAACTATATTTAACAAATATATTAATATATACTGTATATAAACAAACTAAAAATAGTAAAGTATTATTGCTAAAAGTAGGTTTAAGTCTAATAATATATTTTTAGTTTTATTATTTAATAAATAGAATTTTGTTCTATATACTATTAGCAATATATTTTAAAAATACTTTAAAAATTTAAAAAATTATGTCTAAACAATTTTTATATACAGAAATCTAGCTTTTAGATTAGAATTTCTAATAAAAAATATTAGCAAAAAGTAAAATTTTTTAAATATATATATATAGTGTATGAGATTTTTCATTTTTAAAATTATATTTTTAATAAAATAAATAAATAATATATTATTATTTAACCTAAGATATGAGCATATTTAATAAAATTTATGCATCACATAGTTTGTATACAATGGTCTGATTGGTCAAAAAGAAATATATATATATTTAGATTTTTACAATTTCTTAAAAAAATAGCAATCTTCTTTAAATCTTTATTAAAATCTCTTGTTTTGAAAAAAAAAGAATTTGCCAAGTCTTTCTTTGTAAGCGTTATTTTTGATCTTGGATTTTGAATATAATCAATTGGTTCTGAAGGGTGTAAAAATAAAATTGTATATTGAAGAAAATTATTAGCAAAGACTCTATATAAACACTTTAAGTCTTAATTGTGATTACTGTATTTAAATTAGAAAAAGAAGAGTTGATACAAAAATTTCGAATATCACATAATCTAATGATAATAGCAGTAACAATAATTTAAATTGGAATTCAAATACAAAGACACAATGTCCTCAAAAGTACGATTATATTCAAATTTCAAATAAAAAAAAAAAACTAAACTATAATGTACAAAACTATCAAGGAAGTGCAATCTCTGAGGAACATTAACTAAGAAATAATTTTGTAACAAACATGAGCAGGAGATATTTAATTACCGTTGCAATAAAAACATTATTGAAGAAAATACTGATAATCCAAATGATAACAAACAGCTTTATGAATCGACATTACACAAATTGTATAACAATGTAATATTACATACTCTTGGAAAGACCGTAATCGTAACTCTAATAAATATTATAATGAATGTCTTAGCGCTATTCTTTATTATATATTTTATTTTCTAAAATTTCCTTCGTTTACATTATTTTAAATTGCACGAATTTAATATGTAACGGTAGTATGCGATCTTACAATCATGTGGTATTCGAAATTTTTTTTAAGTGGGCCGGCGTAGCCAACCAAGTCCAGAGCAAAATTATTAGCTAGACAATTTGCTTAATAAATGAGCTATGATTTCATTAGTAAAATTTTAGTGATCTTTGGCAAAATTGATCTAGACCAGATTTTCTAATTTGGGGAATGGACCACGTAGAAAAATCATCTGGTTTTGAGTTTTGAGGAAATGTGATTATAGTGCTTTGCAAAAATATGTAACTTTGAATTTTACCAGATTCAAATAATTGTCGTATCTAAAGTTACTATCTATCTGAAGTTGCAACTTTAGTTATATAAAGTTGCACCTAACCAGAATTATATGTATGAAGATCTAATTTCAGGGGCTTAATTTTAGTCAGGTCAACTT